ACTTTCCCCGTTGAAGTTGAATATGCCTTAACCGAACCTTCATTGCCATACATCAAAGTATCACTACACATAACATGCTAACTTCTTTGCTGAGGTAAATTGTTGGCAGTTTCCCTCACTTATACCATAAATGTTTAAAATATGCGTATTAGGATGTGACAGCTCTCCAGATTCTGGTGACCTCCTTTAGGAACATGAATACCAAATAGAGCTGAGCCAGTGGAAGCAGAAAATGTTGATGTTAACAGAACCAAGGTGATGTTTGCATTATGATGGAATTGTGTTTTGCCATTTTCTGGCCACGAGGATGTAAGGACTGGCTGCTGCTGCTTCAGAGCAGCCTTCTATCCAGCGTAGCATCTTCTCTTCATGTGGGCCATAAGTTAATGGCTAGGGATCGAGGCAAACAGTATTACTCTTTTCCTCCTAATACCTCCAGCCTTCTAAGTATTTTCAGCTTGGAGGATTTTGCTCTACTTCCTCTGGGATGTCTGCTTTGCTCATCCACTGTATTATCCATTTTCTCCAAAGTTAAAAGATTCTATACTTTTTTTTTTTAACTTCCATGAAGGCAGGTAGCATCTTTTGCTTTAAAGTTAGTCAAAAGGAGGTCTGTGGAATCCCCGTGCTCAGTTTTTGCCGACAACTATTATAATTTGGAATAAGTGATTTTTAAAAATGCAGAAAAAAGGAATTTTAGTCATTGAGTTAAAGCACTTCTTGTGCATTACTTTGAGTTCATATCAGTACTAGAGGTGTTGCATCTCCTACTCTTTCTTTACCTCAAATACTTGTCTGGTCATTAGATAAAATCCCTTTCACCTGCCGTATTGTGCTTGTTACTCAAGCTCATTTGAACAAGTAGAAGTGTAGGTTGAACCCTTGAGTTTCTGCTTTCTGTGGGGTTCTGATCTGCTTTCTGTGGGGTTCTGATCCGTTTGCTTTGCAAGGAGCTAATAGGCAGGTAGAGAACCTCAGTCTTTAAGAAATTCTTTGCTTTGCAAGGAGCTAATAGGCGGGTAGAGAACCTCAGTCTTTAAGAAATTCTCCAGTGCAATCCCACAGTTGCCTGTGAGTTGTAACCCTCCAGTCTCTGCAAAAAAACAAACCTAGAAAAAAAAAGGAAAGTACCAGAATTTAACGTGACATCCTCAACCATTCTAAAATAGCAGAGGATAATCTAGCTTAAAGAACGTTATGAATTACTTGATAGCCTGAGATCAGGTGCAGTCACACGAAAATGGATAAAGCCAAGGCATAAATATGCCTTTGGCAGCAATGTAAGCGCCTGATAAAGTTTGACATAACCCCAAAATATCTACTAGCTTCAAGAGTGTGGATGTCAAAAGAAAAAGAGATCAGCTACATAAATATTAATGTTTTCTAATAACATGTTAGAGTGACGGATGTGGAGAAAGCGTGGATTGTCACTGAATTTCCCTAAAAGCAAGATATTACTGTCTCTCTAATAATTTGGAAAAGAATTTTAGTTTCAGCGCTGGAACGAAGCACCACACGGTGATCACATTTTCAATGATGCTAAGAGCACGGGAAGCTCATTTGGTAGGAATCCATTCCTGAGAATGGGACTTGTTCAAAATTGTTGCTCCCGTAGAAGTGCCTAGGGAAGGAAGGTGGGAAGGAGCAGAAATAATGTAACCAAGAAGCCCACAGGTGATGAAACTGGTAGTTTGGCTACTGCAGTGTCATGTCTCTGTGGTCAGATCTTGTTTAGATGTGGGCCCAAATTAATTGTTTGTCTGTCTTTATTTGAGTATGCGTTTGATCTCAACTTAGTTAACAGTTTCTGAGCTATTACCCAGAACATAGTAGTCGAGCTTTCGTGGTGTTAATACAGATGCTGTTTTTCCCTGGTTGTGTTCTGGGCAGAGGAAGCTTGGCAGATCTGTGTTTGGAAGTTTATCTGTAAGCAGTCTACAACTCAAGTTTAAGATTCTGCAAATACGGGAGGGCTTTTCTGTGTACTTGCAGCTCTGTGAAAATGAGCAATGTTAGATAAATCTGTTTGGGGAAGGATAAAACACAAAAAGGTTTTATGACTAATGACATCAGCTAAGGATCATCTTGTTTGCGCGGGTTATGTTTCAGAGCAGTGGTTGCCTGACACGCTGTAGCATCTTATTAAATGCTTTATTATAAGACAACAATAATGTTATGGAAGTGATGCTAAGTTTCTGTACTGCTTTCCCTTTGGGAGACATTTGTTTTCAGCTCAGATACTGAAGCTGAAGCATTACTAATGCTTACTTACTAACATAAGTTCATTCTGCTTCAGTTTTAAATTGCTTAATTGTCTTGTGAAAATTTGCCTGGAATGACAATGGGAGTGGTACCGGGTAACCATTTTCTGGGTGGCAATTTTAAGATTTGCTCTTTATTTAGAGCTCTTCACTGGTCTCCAGGCTGATTAAGAACAGATGGATCATATAGTCCTTTTCATAAATACTTTTAAGATGTAACTTTAAAAAAAAAAAAGTAGTTTGCTATTGGTGTTGCTGGTGACAGCGTTTCACTTTGTGTATTTTCAATTCCTCTGTCTCTCATGTCCTTGACTGGCCTTTCTGCTCATTTTTTTTCCTCTAAGCTCATAGCATCACAGCATAAATATATTAACAGATGCTAAAATTTATATGCATCTAGTCTATGTGTCAAGAAGACTCGCCTAAATAAGGATTTGCTAGATCAAGCCTTTGGTAGATGACCTGATTTTCCATTTTAATCAGATTACAAGAGGAGATTTAAATAAATATTTCACGCTTTGGAAGGGTTAACAGGCACGGAGATTTCAGACCGAATCCTCAGCAGGTATGAACTGGCACTGGGAAGTTGCGAACTGACAGCAGAGTTGTGTGATCTGAAGCAGCAGAGATCTCAGCTCTGGACTCCCAACATACAAGTGAAGAAATAAAACTGAGAGGCAAACTTTGCCAAGAGCTATACACTGCATGAGGAGCTAATAAATGGTAAAACAGAAAATTACAAGAGACCCAGAGTTGACGAGAATGCAGAAGGGAGCTTGCGTGAAGTGGGCTGGTGGGCACAGCTGGGAAGTCAGACTTGAGCATGAAGTCTGAGCCCAAGCTAACATAGCAGTGGACTTGTAAGCAGTGAATTTAAAGATGGCTAGTGCCAAAGAAAGTGCCTGCTTCAGTGCCTCCAAAAAGGTGGTTCCACATAAACCATCTTATGTAGAACACAACAAAGAGAAGAGATGAGACGTGCTGGGAACTATTGCCTGTGGTAATGGCCATAACGGTGAGGGAGCTTCTGTGGCTCCTTCCAAAAGTGCTGCTGCTGGGAAGGAAGCTGATTTGATGGGAGGGACCCTGTCATATATAGTTAATTTAATAAGCTGTTCATCTTCTAAGTGCTCATTTGAGCTAGGCTTAGCGACTCTCCAGAGATGCATCCATCACTAGCTATGAAAATCCTTATGCAGCAGAGCGCGCAGAACCTCAGATTACCTCTTTCCCTTTTATCGTACAATGCTATTTTTAATCCAGTGCCTTGCTGTGTATTAATCATTTTTGACAAATTACTTCATGTTGTGTAAATTCCCATGCACTATCTGTGTGTGCATATTTTAGCCTATTGCAGTCTCATAAGAGCAGTAAGTGACACCTCATTTCCCATCACCTTTATTTTATGGGCAGGCTGGCATGGTGATTAGGTATCAGAGGAAACCGGTGCACAAATTCGTCTGTCAATTTAAACCAGTGAACAGCTCTGTTGTCAATGCAGCTTTGCAGGGTTGTATCAGCTGACAGTACTGCCCCGATACCCATGGATTCCATACCATTAATCATCAGAGATAATTTTACTAGTTATGTGGTAGTATGAGTACAAACATGTTACTGGCAGAGAAAGTTGAGTGGATCATTGAGTCAGGAGTGAGTACGTGGTGGACTTCCATCTACGTACAAGGAGTACAGGAGTCACAGCAGTGTTTCTGGACTGAGAAGATATCTTTTCTCTTACAGTCGAGTGCTACTTTCTCAGGCATGTGTTTCTCTTAGATATGGGACTTTAATAGCAGAAATTCTGTGCGACCAAGAAAGCTCTCGGATGCTTTTAGGGATGGATCATGGATCTACCCTTCCTACATAAAGTTTTTGGGAACAGAGCAGACTAGGAGTGACTCATATTCTCCATAATCAACCAAATTATCTCATGAAGGTCAGTGAGGTTACTTGTGAATAGAGCGGGCAGCATTTTGCTCTTCAACCAAGCCCTCATAGCAAAGCAGCACTGTGAGAGCATGTCCTAGTACGGTACTGCCCTGGCGTGCGTGGGGTGAGGAGTACTCGCTGTGAGCAGCGCTGTGCCCCGGGCTGTTGTGCTATCGGCCAGGCTCCAAACCCTCTCCGGGCCCTGGGGGGACACATCTGGTTTCTAGCACAGGCTCAAGCCGTGACAACACGTCTGGTTCCTAGCAGAGGCTGAGGCTTGAGCCTCCGTGCCGGCAAGCTGCTGTGTTCCCCGCAGGTGAGATCACAGCTTGCGGGGGGAGGCTGCGTGTGCACCACCAGACCTCCACGGTGGAGGGGCCTCTTTGGCTGCGTCTTCCTGCAGAAGACTATCTTCTCTTTCTGGGCTTTCCAGTGGTGACTTGGTAGGATAATGCATTACTCTTGTGGAGTATTTCCAAAATGCAGTACAAGCTCACAGAGTTTGGGGGATGGGATGGAAGAACTCAAGTCTGTGTTGCCTTTCTGTAAGGTACCTTGTGTCTGAGAAGGGACCACCTTAAAGTGCAGCAATTGAGAATCACAAGCAACAAGGAATTGGATTAATTCTAGTATCAGCATTATTTGACATCCTCTCACTGCTCTTGAGAGGAGCAGAGCTGAATGTTTAATGGACGTTTGAGAGGGGCAATCTGCTGTGAGTACAAGTCAGAATGTGGCACAGGCTCTGACACTAGTAAACACAAGCAGATCTCTGTGGATAATATGAGTTTTTTTCTTTTTGATTTTTAGAATCAACCTTGTCCTATGTTAGGCAGCTGGAGGCAAGAGTAAGACAGCTGGAGGAGGAAAATCGCATGCTGCCCCAGGTGGGTGACTTCCGTTGGTGGGAACAGTAGCCGGCAGCTAGACAGCAACACTCGAGTCTTTGTGCTTGAGATAAAATCAGTATTACTTGTCATTTGACGTTACTGTATTTGAACACTCAGGCTAATCGTTCGGATAATCAAAGGCACTCACGTCTGTCTGTTCATCTTGCTTGTGATTGAGTGGGGTATTTATTTAAGACTATGACAATGCTTTCATTAATTTTTGTCCTTTGCAGGTGTTGATACCTTGCTAAGAAAAATTCACTGGAAGCCGCTGCTTATAATTAATTAATTTAAGGGATGAAAATCACAGTGAACTGACCCTTTATATCCTGGTTTTATTCCAAGAGCTTCTTGTTATTAAAATATCAAGTACTTTTTATAGTTAACCAAAATATTTTGCTCTAAGAATGCAAATATGTTAAGTAATAATAATTGGGTTATATTATTTTTAATATTTTGAGGAGTATATTAGATGCGTAAATGCAAGACTGAAATTAAATTGAATAAATAAGCAAATATGAAGTTAAAGGTTTTCGCAATATGTTTTTAAGAATGCAAAATTTTGAAGTTCATTAAGAATAAATCGAAGATATTTGTAATTTTTTATATATACACATAGATACCAGTGCATATTCCTATTATATTTCATTAGGTAATCCTTAGAAAAATCCATAAAGCCTCCAAATGAAGTTGCCCACTGGAAGAAAAAAGAAGTTGCATTTTGTTTAAATCAAACACTAGTTTAAATGAAGACATTGGTCTGAAGAAGAAAAGTGCGTTTTGTTGAACTTAGCACTGTTATTTGAATGTAAAATCCAAGATACCAGTGAAATGTAGTAAGAAGTAAAATCCACTGGCTCATATTTATTGATTTGTATAAGCTAAGATTAGCTAGAAGATACCAGCCCAGGTTAACAATTTCCTTAAGGCAGATTTTAAGTAAGTGTGGTGGGTTTTTTTCCTCACCTACAATATGACAGTTGGAAGGGCCTCTTAGCTCTTGTTTAGCTCTTGACTTGCTAGGTGACCTTGAACAATTTGTGTAACTTCTCGGTACCCTAATCTTTTGATCTGGAAAAGAAGGGCAGCAAGAATGGTTAAATGTCTGTCCATTAACATGTATACAGTCTTCAATAGGAAAGACAAAGGTTGATCTTCAGTGATAAAGAATATTATTTTCTTGTCAAGAACGGTGTTCAGGGCAAATGTTAACAAACCTGCCTGAAAAATGCCATTGTGGTTTGTCTTGGGTCTGGAACAACACTGGGGGATAAATTGTGCACAACATTCTTTGTGGGCAAAATCTTTAGAAGTGGCCATATGTTTTATTTGTCTGGGATTTGAGGCGCTCAGGTGGAGACCCATGAAATGCATTACCAGACCTTGCCAAAGACTGGAACACCCACATTGTGGATGTTGAGTTCATTGAAAATATCTTAGATAGGGTGCCAAAACCAGAAAATACTGCTTGTGAAAATAGCACCTAAGCCTGTTGCTGTTGCAAAAGTAATTGTAACAAAATGTGCCGATTGTGGGGTTTTGAAGGGGAAGAACTAGGTGAGCAAGCCTGCAAACTGCTTTTTGTTTTTAAATACACAGGTCAGAGTTTGTCTTATGTTTGGTTTTGTTGGCACAAGGATCTGTAGTAGAGTTCTGAAAAATCTCCTAATATCTCTGGATGCTTTATTATAAGAAATAATGACTGACAAGGGTTCAGGTTTCTTGGCACATATTACTCACCTTTCCTCCTGAAGAAAGGCATTGCTTTGGGGAGAGGAAGGAAATGTAGACACCAAGCTTATTCGACTTTGCATTTGATTACCTCGGCATTGTATTTGCATGAGTTCATTTAGGGGGTTTGTTGTTCCTGTGAGTAACACCCTGAACGTGCTATCAGTGGTGATCAGACCCCGTCACAACGACAGGGACGCAGGACGGAAACGCATAAGCTCCTGGCACTGGTTCGGTTCTGTTTAACGGGAGGAATAGGAGTTTGTTGGGCGTTAAGCCAAACTGAGTGCTTCTGACAAATCAGCTGAAAATACACTATGAGCTCCACAACTGATGAAGGTTTTTGGCACAGCTCTTACTCAGTTACAGTGTTGTGCCTTAAAATTTCACCAGTGCTTCAGTAAGAGAGTGCCTTTTGCTTTTTGCATAGCACCTCGTTGATGGCGTACTGGAGCACCGGGAGGGTTTGGGAGTTGCAGGACTGCACTTAGTGTGAGAGGTGACGACTCGCACTCGTGAGTGTGACGCCTCTGCTAGGTCTTTACCTAAGAGTCCTTGCCTTGCTTTCTGAGGCTTTTTTCTCTCCTCCTGCCATGCTTTTCTTCTTTTTCCTCTCTGCTATCAATATCCTTTCTTTCCCCCCTTTTCTGCTGTGTGTCACTCATGAAAATGCACTGGCACATTTGTTGACACCCTCTTCAGATAAATCACTCCTTTCATCTATCACTTAGTATGGTTCTTTTCTAATTTCTTTTGCTTTGCTTGTCTCCCTCTATACGTATTAGTTTTCTTTTCAAAACCCCACAGATCTCTAATGTAAAAGTTTTATTAATATTTAGTGGCAAGAACATTTCCAGAGAAAATGGTTTTAAGTGCTGCCATCACTGTTCAAATGGAATCTGAGTTTTAGTTCACTCTGCTGTATTGAAGGGCTTCTTTGTCAGGGGAAATGCAGTACCACCACTGCGTCAGTATTTTAGTTTGATCAGGTAATAGAAAAGGTATAAACATGCGCATATTCACTTAAGCCTGGTTATGTCTCTTCCTGTGCTGCGCAGTTGTTCTGGTGGCGGTTTGTAGCATAGTAGTGGGTTTAAGAGTTATGAGAAGCCGTAGATGGGTTGTAGGTTTGCTGTGTTGGTCAGAGCTGTAATTAGCTGGGTTTTTTTGTTGTTGTTGTTTTTTTCCTTCTCTCAGATAGCGTGTAACAAGATATGATCCAGACCCTTTCAGTTTCTGGCCACAAATAGGATTTTTGTGCAAGAAAGCAGATACTTTCCAAGATTTATGGTATGCAGCTGGGTCTTCTGTTGAGAATGCCAAACTGTGCCAGCTGCGCCCAAGACAAGGGGTGTGCAGCTTGCGCTGGTGCTTCTTGAACACTTGTGTAGGTAAGGGTGCGTGACAGCAGTGTGTAGAGGCAAAAGGATTTGAGCAAGAACATTTCTGTTTTGCTGGATGGATTTCAGGCCAGAGTAGTTCCCCCATGGGGCTGGGGCAGGAAAGCTCTCTGCAGCACACGGGCTCTGGCAGTGCCGCTGCCTTCTGCTGCCTCAAAATGTACACGAAACTACAGCATCACTGTGGATTGAGTTTTGTTGCTAACATTAAAAAAAAAAAAAATACATGATAGTATGGCCAGTGCTCTAACCAGAACGTAGTGTCTGTGCATATTGTAATGAAGATACTCAGCAATAATTAAGAAAATAGTAGGGACCAAACAATGGATTCAGATCCCAGTTAGAGCTTCCTGGGCTGTGACAGATCTGTTATGTCAGTGAGTAACTTCAGCTAACTGAAAACAGGAGTGTCCTCCCAGACTTGATGTGGGGCGTAACTGCTATCCATGCCTTATGCTGGGGGAAGCGGGATCAGGATCTGGCAGCCACATGTCAATTAACTGAAGATATCCCTGAATTTTTGTAGGGGTAGTATTTCAAGGCTGATAAGCTCAGCTGAAATGTTATGGAAATGTGGACATCTGTCATATAATGACAGTAAATGCATTTGCAAAAGATATACTTGGCAAGGCACCCAATTTTAATTGCTTCAGTTTTTATTTGTTTCATGGGAGGATGGAGCAAGAGGCAGAGATGGAGAATTGTCAGGCATTTCCCCTTTCTAACTCTTTGTCCTTGTAATTTAGCCTTACCTTTTAATGAAGGGGAAAGGAAGTATTGCCAGGATGCTGCTTTCTGAGTGAACAAACTGCATGGGGCCAGAGGCTGGATGCGGGGAGCTGAGCTCCAGACTTCCACAGCATGCAGCACCAAAGCCACGAGGCAGGTGTGGTGCAGGGCTGAACTGGAGCCCCTCTGCTCCTTCTCATGTGGGCTTTTCTGCCTCCGTTTCCTCATTCTTTCCTTTACAAGTCTTTTGGTCCTTTTCCATCTTTTCGTTGCTTCTCTTTCAATTCTACTGTTGCTTCAGGCACTGTTTTTGGGTTTTGCATCCTTGTTAGCCTTTTCCAGTCCTGGTACGTTTAAGTGTGAAATGGCAGGCGTGACCCTTACGCACACACAAGTTTATTTTTAAGCTCTTTCAACACTTTTCATTTCCCTCTTTCTTCCCCCTTCCATCAGATTACCACATTTTATTTCAACCCATTCCCAAATCTTTCAAAAACCATTTTGCTGAGATCTGTGGTTTTTGTTTTCCCTCTGCATGGCATGGTTTCAGTTATAAATCTAATTAGAAGATGGGAACTGTTTGGTTAGTATTTTTTTTGTAAAATCTGTGTCACTCACAGTCCAATAATGTTTGTCTCCTCCCTTCCGTAGCGTGCAGAAGAATAGGGAATCCTTCAACCAAAATGTAATTAAAACCCATTGAACAAACCCATGTTACCTAATCATGTCATCAAATATTTGCTGAAAGTAAATCAACAGCATCCACCCACCCTGTTCTTTCATGTGCTCTCATCCTCAGTTTAAATTAATAGGTCATTTAATGGAGCGACTTCAGTTTACAAGAGCTGAGGTTCTGACCAGAGTCTTTGTCTTGGGGTGTCCTAAGCATAGCGCTTCCATCTTGGTTGGCATGGGCAGGCTGAATGGCAAGAGCTTATGGGCTTGATGTTACAAAGGTGCAAAATCAAGAAAAACCTGGTGTACAAAAAGAGTTGCAGTTCAGAGAGAAGGACAGATTATTATTTTTCCAGAGTAATTTCCAAAAGTACTCATGATTTTCTAGTAGAATCCACTGAATCTTCCAGATTTTAAATAGTGGTGGTCTTTCTATGCGTGGCCTCCAAGATTTGGAGGTGC